AAAAAAAAAGGACCAGCTTGCTTTGTTGGAGCTTTTCTCTCCAGGCCAGATGCTTTCTTTGTACTATAAAATCCTATACAGTCCTATAGAACCCTATTTTATCTAGGAACTAAGACTCTGTTACAGTTATTCTCCCCCCCCCCCCCCCCCTACCTCCAACCCTCCCGCCTTTCCCGGACATAGCTTGTGCCACATTGAGCCCAGAGCAGCCCCGGCTTGTCTAAGCGTATTACTTTCCACCTGACAGATAAAAGCTTTTCATATAGATTCTTGGAGAATATCAGCTCTGTGGAGCATTTGTCTACCGCTTTGATACTTGACAATTAAAGCCAGGAAAGGCTAGGCACGCCTCCCCCCCCTCTCCATTCCCTACCCCAGCCTGCGCTGTGTGTGCTGTGGCTACGGATTGACCTTGAATTCCCTCTTCTGGATGAAATCACCTCACCTGCCCCCGATTTTCTGTGTTCAGCGTAGAACAGAGCACAGACTGTACACACGTCCTCCGCCGTGAGCCAGGCGCTGCGGGGTTTGAGATCGCCATGAAATGCTATAGTGCCTGGGTTGGCATAGGGGAGAATGGCATTACTGTGCGTCATATTACTGCCCTTACCCATAGGCACGGCTCCCTTGTGGATTCCCCCCCCCCCCCCCCAGATCTTCCACTTTCATTAATCATCCTTACGAGGCGTTCCAAGGATTACTGCTGGATGAAAGGGATAGACCACATGTTGCGTGGGCAACTTTTTTTTTTTTTTTTTTTTTTTTGAGTGGCAATAAATATTTCCTTTACCATATCGCCCTTTACGTCTTTCCATGCATTTGCTTTTCCATGTTTTACAGATTGTAGCTTTTCTGAATTCAGCGCAGAGACCAATTTTTTTTTTTTTTTTTTTTTTTAATTGCTACAGATTTGTGAAAAAGGTTCAAACCTGTGTGTTGCGGCAACGCACCGAATTTGCGGTAACGTGCTTTCAATGCGCCTAGGCAAGAGGGACGACTTTTGTTGGTATAGGGGATCTCTGGACTGGCCCTTGACATTGGGCCCCGCAAAATATTCAGTTATTGCTGCAGAGACTGCGGCTACAGTATATCACAGGGAGTGGTCAGAGACGACAGGCCTGCTACAGGAGATGGTCAGAGACTGCAGACGTATAACAAGAGATGTCTAGAAACTGCAGATGTATAACAGGAGATGGTCAGAGACTGCAGATGTATAACAGGAGATGGTCAGAGACGACAGGCCTGCTACAGGAGATGGTCAGAGACTGCAGATGTATAACAGGAGATGGTCAGAGATGACAGATGGCCTGCAGATGTATAACAGGAGCTGGTCAGAGACTGCAGATGTATAACAGGAGATGGTCAGAGACTGCAGATGTATAAGGGAGCTGGTCAGAGACTGCAGATGTATAACAGGAGATGGTCAGAGACTGCAGATGTATAACAGGAGATGGTCAGAGACTGCAGATGTATAACAGGAGATGGTCAGAGACTGCAGATGTATAACAGGAGATGGCCATAAACTGCAGATGTATACAGGAGATGGTCAGAGACTGCAGATGTATAACAGGAGATGGTCAGAGACTGCAGATGTATAACAGGAGATGGTCAGAGACTGCAGATGTATAACAGGAGATGGTCAGAGACTGCAGATGTATAACAGGAGATGGTCAGAGATGCAGATGTATAACAGGAGATGGTCAGAGACTGCAGATGTATAACAGAGATGGGCAAACTGCAATGTATAACAGGAGATGGTCAGAGACTGCAGATGTATAACAGGAGATGGTCAGAGACTGCAGATGTATAACAGGAGATGGTCAGAGACTGCAGATGTATAACAGGAGATGGTGAGAGACAGGCCTGCTACAGGAGATGTCAGAGATGCAGATGTATAACAGGAGATGGTCAAGAGACTGCAGATGTATAACAGGAGATGGTCAGAGACTGCAGATGTATAACAGGAGATGGTCAGAGACTGCAGATGTATAACAGGAGATGGTCAGAGACTACAGATGTAACAGGAGATGGTCAGAGACAGGTATAACAGATGGTCAGAGACTGCAGATGTATAACAGGAGATGGTCAGAGACTGCAGCCTGTATAAGGAGATGGTCAGAGACTGCAGATGTATAACAGGAGATGGTCAGAGACAACAGGCTTGCTACAGGAGATGGTCAGAGACAACAGCCTGCTACAGGAGATGGTCAGAGACTGCAGATGTATAACAGGAGATGGTCAGAGACTGCAGATGTATAACAGGAGATGGTCAGAGACTGCAGATGTATAACAGGAGATGGTCAGAACTGATGTATAACAATAGATGGTCAGAGACTGCAGATGTATAACAGGAGATGGTCAGAGACTGCAGATGTATAACAGGAGATGGTCAGAGACTGCAGATGTATAACAGGAGATGGTCAGAGACTGCAGATGTATAACAGGAGATGGTCAGAGACTGCAGATGTATAACAGGAGATGGTCAGAGACTGCAGATGTATAACAGATGTCATAGACTGCAGATGTATAACAGGAGATGGTCAGAGACTGCAGATGTATAACAGGAGATGGTCAGAGACTGCAGATGTATAACAGGAGATGGTCAGAGACTGCAGATGTATAACAGGAGATGGTCAGAGACTGCAGATGTATAACAGGAGATGGTCAGAGACTGCAGATGTATAACACAGGATGGTCAGAGACTGCAGATGTATAACAGGAGATGGTCAGAGACTGCAGATGTATAACAGGAGATGGTCAGAGACTGCAGATGTATAACAGGAGATGGTCAGAGACTGCAGATGTATAACAGGAGATGGTCAGAGACTGCAGATGTATACAAACAGGAGATGGTCAGAGACTGCAGATGTATAACAGGAGATGGTCAGAGACTGCAGATGTATAACAGGAGATGGTCAGAGACTGCAGATGTATAACAGGAGATGGTCAGAGACTGCAGATGTATACACAGGAGATGGTCAGAGACTGCAGATGTATAACAGGAGATGGTCAGAGACTGCAGATGTATAACAGGAGATGGTCAGAGACTGCAGATGTATAACAGGTAACAGGAGATGGTCAGAGACTGCAGATGTATAACAGGAGATGGTCAGAGACTGCAGATGTATAACAGGAGATGGTCAGAGACTGCAGATGTATAACAAGAGATGGTCAGAGACTGCAGATGTATAACAGGAGCTGGTCAGAGACTGCAGATGTATAACAGGAGCTGGTCAGAGACTGCAGATGTATAACAGGAGATGGTCAGAGACTGCAGATGTATAACAGGAGATGGTCAGAGCCATGCAGATGTATAACAGGAGATGGTCAGAGACTGCAGATGTATAACAGGAGATGGTCAGAGACTGCAGATGTATAACAGGAGATGGTCAGAGACTGCAGATGTATAACAGGAGATGCTACAAGAAATGCAGTGTATAACAGGAGATGGTCAGAGACTGCAGATGTATAACAGGAGATGGTCAGGGACTGCAGAAATATAACAGGAGATGGTCAGAGACTGCAGATGTATAACAGGAGATGGTCAGAGACTGCAGATGTAATAACAGAGATGGCGAACTGCAGACATGGTATAACAGGAGCCTGGTCAGAGACTGCAGATGTATGCTGGTACAAGAGATGGTCAGAGATGCAGATGTATAACAGGAGCTGGTCAGAGACTGCAGATGTATAACAGGAGATGGTCAGAACTGCAGATGTATAACAGGAGCTGGTCAGAGACTGCAGATGTATAACAAGGAGATGTCAGAGACTGCAGATGTATAACAGGAGCTGGTCAGAGACTGCAGATGTATAACAGGAGATGGTCAGAGACATGCAGATGTATAACAGGAGTGGTCAGAGACTGCAGATGTTATAACAGAGATGGTCAGAGACTGCAGATGTACAACAGGAGATGGTCAGAGACTGCAGATGTATAACAGGAGATGGTCAGAGACTGCAGATGTTAATAACAAGAGTATGGTCACAGACTGATGGTCAGAGCTGTCAGAGACTGCAGATGTATAACAGGAGCTGGTCAGAGACTGCAGACGATGTACAACAGGAGATGGTCAGAGACTGCAGATGTATAACAGGAGATGGTCAGAGACTGCAGATGTATAACAAGAGCTGGTCAGAGACTGAAGATCGTATAACAGGAACTGGTCAGAGAACTGCAGATGTATAACAGGAGATGGCCAGAACTGCAGACATAACTACAGAGAAATGGTTAGAGACATGGGCATGGCCATAAACTGCAGGAACAGGAGCAGGGTCATGAGACTGCAGCTAACAGGAAATGATCAGAGACTGCAGATATGCTATAAAGAGATGGCCAGAAACTGCAGACATGCTACAAGAAAGATGGTTAGAGACTATGGGCATGCTGCAGGAGATGGTCAGAAACTGCAGACATGCTACTGACTGGATCAGAGACTATGGGCATGCTACAAGAGATGGTCAGAAACTGCAGACATGCTACATGAGCTGGTTAGAGACTATGGGCAGCTACAAGAGATAGTCAGAAACTGCAGACATGCTACATGGAGCTGGTTAGAGACTATGGGCATGCTGCACAAGAGATAGTCAGAAACTGCGCAGACATACTACAGGAGAAAGTCAGAGACTGCAGCATACTACAGGAGATGGTCAGAGACTACAGACATACATGACCTACAGGAGATGGTTAGAGACTATGGGCATGCAGCTACAGGAGATGGTCAGGGACTGCAGGACATATGCTACATGAGGTGGTCAGAGACTGCAAGCATACTAGAGGCAGAGATGGTCAGAGACTGCAGACATACTACAGGAAATGGTGAGAGACTGCAGACATACTACAGGAGATGGCCAGGACTATGCATGCTACAGAAATGGTCAGAGACTGCAGACTGGCTACAAGAGCTGGTTAGAAACTATAGACATGCTGCAGAAGATGGACAGAGACTGCAAACATACTAGAGGAAATGGTCAGAGACTATGCAAATGCTACAGGAGATGGTCAGAGACTGCAGACATACTACAGGAGATGGTCATAGACAATAGACCTGTTATACAGAGCTGTGTCAGAAACTGCAGATATGTAACTGCAGAGATGGCCAAAACAGCAGACAGCTACAACAGAGTTGTCAGAGACTGCAGCTACATGAATGGTCAGAAACTGCAGACATAACATGAGACTACAGATACTAGTCCAGACTATGTGCATGCTACAGGAGATAGTGAAACTGCAGACATACTACAGGAGAAGTCACAGACTGCAAAGATACTACAGGAGATGGTGAGAGACAGACAGAAACTGCAGGAGATGGTCAGAGACTATGTCATAGCTAGAGGAGATGGTCAGGGACTGCAGACATACGAGGAAAAGATCAGAGACTGCAACATACTTCAGGAGATAGTGAGAAACTGCAGACATACAACAGGAGATGGTGAGAGACTGCAGACATGCTACAGGAGATGGTGAGAGACTGCAGACATAATACAGGAGATTGGTCAAGACTGAGGACATAGTGCAGTCATGGTCAGAGACTGCAGACATACTGCAGGAGATGTCAGAGACTGCAGACATAATACTGGAGATGGTCAGAGATTGAAGACAGTGCCAGAGATGGTGAGAGACTGCAGACACTACAGAGGGACGGACAGAGACTGCAGACATACTGCATGCATTGGTCTGAGAGACTATGAGCATGCTACAGGAGATGGTCAGGGACTAGTGAAGTACATGCAACAGGAGATGGTCATAGACTGCAAACATACTAGAGGAAAAGGTCATAGACATGCAGACATACTACAGGGGATGGTCAGAGACTACAGACTTTTGCAAGGAAAATGGTCAAAAACTGTGTACATGATATATGATTTGGTTTCATGAGACCATAGCTTCAGGAGATAGTCATAGAAATTACATGTTGCTAGGTACTGTCTTCAGAGCCCCAAGGGTCGAAAGGGTAGTAGGCCTTGTGCACCAGCTTTCATGAACCTAGGCAGTGCAGCGCAGTGCATTTTTTGGTTTAGCGCACCATAATGAACAGATACGTGCTGTGGACGTTTGGAAATGCGCTCCAGATCGCTGCAGGTATGAACTGGACCTGGTCAGGGCAAACCTCAAATAAGCCTTTTTATACATCATGTAGGGATCTGAAGCAAGTACATCTAGACTTTTGCACACTAAAGATATCAAATCTAGGTTTATGACCTTTAGTTCATGTAGCTTATCTGACGCTTATTCAGGACGTACTATACTTACAATCTCCACCTGTAGCCACACCCATCTGTAGGCTTCACCGCAAAAACCATGTAGTGGTTTACTAGAAATTTGAATGTAAGGTTGTAGTAAAATTCAACATCTAGGTGGTCTTTAGCAAACCTCAATGTAAGCCTTTTGTCACCATAGTTCATGTAGTGATGTTCAACACCCAGTTAGACTTTTGCAAGCCTTATCAAAAGCCTTTTATTAACAAAGTTCATGTAGTGATGTTCAACATGTAGTTGGTCTTTAGCAAACCTCAACGTAAGCCTTTTTAGGACCATAGTTCATGTAGGGATGTTCAACATCCAGTTAGACTTTTGCAATCTTATCAAAAGCCTTTTTATGACCATAGTTCATGTAGGGATGACCTTTAGCAAACCTCAATGTAGGATGTTCACCATTGGTCTTTTGCAATGTTCAACATCCAGTTTTGGTCTTTAGCAAACCTCAACGTAAGCCTTTTGTATGACCATAGTTCATGTTGGGATGTTCAACATCCAGTTGGTCTTTAGCAAACCTCAACAGAAGCCTTTTATGACCATAATTTCATGTATTGATGTTCAGCATGAAGTTGGTCTTTAGCAAACCTCAACCTAAGCCTTTTTATGACCATTGTTAATGTAGTGATGTTCAGCATCAGTTGGACTTTAGCAAACCTTTAGAAACTTTTATGAGCCTTTTCATAACCAACGTTCAGGTAGGGATGTTTAGCATTTTTTAGACTTTTGCAAATCTTACCAAAAGCCTTGTATGACCATAGATCATGTAGGGAATGTTCAACATCTAGTTGGCCTTTAGAAAAACCTCAACGTAAGCCTTTTATGACCATAGTTCATGTATTGATGTTCAACATCCAGTTAGGTCTTTAGCAAACCTCAACGTGAGTTTTTGTATGACCCATGTTGGGATGTTCAACATCCCCGTTGGGATGTTCAACATCCAGTAGTGCAAATCTTATCAAAAGCCTTTTATGACCATAGTTCATGTAGGGATGTTCAGCATCCAGTTTTGTCTTTAGCAAACCTCAACGAAAGGTTTTGTATGACCATGTTCATGTTGGGATGTTCAACATCCAGTTGGTCTTTAGCAAACCTCAACATAAGTTTTTGTATGACCATAGTTCATGTTGGGATGTTCAACATCCAGTTAGACTTTTGCAAATCTTATCAAAAGCCTTTTATGACCAAAGTTCATGTAGGGATGTTCAACATCCAGTTGGTCTTTAGTAGACCTCAGCATAAGCATTTCATAACCATAGTTTATGTAGTGGTCTTCAACATCCAGTTGGTCTTTAGAGAAACTGGAACAAACACTGATGGTTATTTTAGGATGGTTTTGGTTCCTCCATGGTAACTTTACGTGAACGTAACACATATTCAGTTAATTTATTATGGCATGCTTGTCAACATAGCTATTATCAAGTGTTACAAAAGTCTGCAGATCTTTGGACATCACAGGTTCTTTGGCACCTGCATGAGGGTTGTGTGGTGTGCCCTTTCATTCACCTTGATAATTGCCCAATTTTTAGAGCGGAATAGCAATGATGCTGAATTTTTCCCAACTATCCACCTAACTATGGAATGATGGAGGCGCAAGTCTTAAAAATTCTTTTGCAACCCATTCCAGACTTATGAGCGACAAAACTACTCCTATGAGATCTATGAAATCTCTCGTTGGGCCATTATGTAGGGTTGTAAAGCGCAAGTAAGGCAATTGTGGAATTTCTTGCACAATGGGGCATGTCAAACTCCCTCTTGGTTGCCGGACTCATTGAATGGATCATTGCACTCCAATTACACTCTCCCTTTCCTCTATGATAGAGGTTCACGTAGATTTTCATTTAATGACTTGAATAGTTAAGTACACTTAAAATACGATGTAAAATGCTGTATGTGGTACATAAAATATTGTAGCTGAAGGCGAAGATGAAACATATTTTTCTGTTGCATCTATCTATCTATCTATCTATCTATCTATCTATCTATCTATCTATCTATCTATCTATCTATCTATCTATCTATCTATCTATCTATCTATCTATCTATCTATCTATTATCTATCTATCTAATCTATCTATCTATCTATCTATCTATCTATTATCTATCTATCTATCTATCTATCCTATCTATCTATCTATCTATCTATCTATCTATCTATCTATCTATCTATCTATCTATCTATCTATCTATCTATCTATTATCTATCTATCTATCTATCTATTATCCAGCTATCTATACTGTGCCATAAATTAAGAAATTTTTATCGTTTCCTGCAACACAGTCAGTGTTCCCGCGGAGCCATTCTGTTCTCCCGGCAGGGGGAGCCTTCCCCTACCAGGAGAACAGGGTGATTACTGCTAGCGGCTATGATAGCATTCACTATATCCGCTCTCCCCGGACCCCGCATTCACTCTATCCGCTCTCCCCGGACCCCGCATTCACTATATCCGCTCTCCCGGACCCTGCATTCACTATATCCGCTCTCCCAAACCCTGCATTCACTATATCCGCTCTCCCCAAAACCCTGCATTCACTATATCCGGTCTCCCCGACCCCGCATTCACTATATCCGTTCTCCCGGACCCTGCATTCACTATATCCGCTCTCCCCTGGACCCTGCATTCACTATATCCGCTCTCCCCGGACCCCGCATTCACTATATCCGCTCTCCCCGGACCCCGCATTCACTATATCCGCTCTCCCCGGACCCTGCATTCACTATATCCGCTCTCCCCGGACCCTGCATTCACTATATCGCTCTCCCGGACCCTGCATTCACTATATCCGCTCTCCCCGGACCCTGCATTCACTATATCCGCTCTCCCCGGACCTGCATTCACTCTATCCGCTCTCCCCGACCCTGCATTCACTATATCCGCTCTCCCTGGACCCTGCATTCACTATACCTGAGCTCCCTGGACCCCTGCATTCACTATATCCGCTCTCCCCGGACCCTGCAATTCACTATATCCGCTCTCCCCGGACCCTGCATTCACTATATCCGCTCTCCCCGGATCCTGCATTCACTATATCCGCTCTCCCTGGACCCTGCATTCACTATATCCGCTCTCCCGGACCCTGCATTCACTATATCCGCTCTCCCCATACCCTGCATTCACTATATCGTCTCCCCGGACCCTGCATTCACTATATCCGCTCTCCCCGGACCCTTCATTCACTATATCCGCTCTCCCCGGACCCTGCATTCACTATATCCGGTCTCCCTGACACCGCATTCACTATATCGCTCTCCCCTGGACCCTGCATTCACTATATCCGCTCTCCCCGGACCCTGCATTCACTATATCCACTCCTCCCCGATACCCTGCATTCACTATATCCGCTCTCCCCGGACCCTGCATTCACTATATCGCTCTCCCCAGACCTGCATTCACTATATCTGGTCTCCCCAGACAACTTGCATTCGCTATATCGCTCCCCCGGACCCTGCATTCACTATATCTGCTCTCCCCGGGACCCTGCATTCACTATATCCGCTCTCCCCGGACCCTGCATTCACTATATCCGCTCTCCCCGGACCCTGCATTCACTATTATATGCTCTCCCCGGACCCTGCATTCACTATATCCGGCTCTATCCCGGACCCTGCATTCACTATATCCGCTCTCCCCGGACCCTGCATTCACTATATCCTCTCCCCCGGACCCTGCATTCACTATTCCACTCTCCCCGGACCCTGCATTCACTATATCTGCTCTCCCCCGGGACCCTGCATTCACTATATCCGCTCTCCCCAGACCCTGCATTCACTATATCTAGTCTCCCCGAACCCTGCAATTCACTATATATGGTCTCCCTGAACCCTGCATTCACTAGATCTGCTCTCCCCGAACCCTGCATTCACTATATCCTGCTCTCCCCGGACCCTGCATTCACTATATCTGCTCTCCCGAACCATGGCATTCACTATATTGGCTCTCCCCGGACCCTGCATTCACTATATGCGCCCTCCCCGGACCCCGCATTCACTATATCCGCTCTCCCCGGACCCTGCATTCACTATATGCACCCTCCCGGAGCCTGCATTCATTATATCCGCTCTCCCCGGACCCCGCATTCAATATATCACCTTTCCCCGGACCCTGCATTCACTATATCCGCCCTCCCCGGACCTGCATTCACTATATCTGCTCCTCCCCGGACCCCGCATTCACTATATCCGCTCCCCGGACCCTGCATTCACTATATGCACCCTCCCCGGACCCTGCATTCACTATATCCGCTCTCCCCGGACCCTGCATTCACTATATCTGCTCTCCCCTGGACCCTGCATTCACTATATCTGCTCTCCCTCGGACCCTGCATTCACTATATCTGGTCTCCCCGGACCCCGCATTCACTATATCGCTCTCCCCGGACCCTGCATTCATATCCCCTCTCCCCATATCCTGCATTCACTATATCTGCTCTCCCTGGACCCTGCATTCACTATATTCGCTGATTTCAATCTCCCCCCGGACCCTGCATTCACTATATCCGTCTCCCCAGACCCTGCATTCATATATCGCTCTCCCCGGACCCTGCATTCACTATAACTATATCCGCTCTCCCCATATCCTGCATTCACTATATCTGCTCTCCCCGGACCCTGCATTCACTATATCTGGTCTCCCCGAACCCTGCATTCACTATATCTGGTCTCCCCGAACCCTGCATTCACTATATCCGGGCTCCCCGGACCCCGCATTCACTATATCCGGGCTCCCGGACCCCGCATTCACTATATCTGCTCTCCCCGGACCCTGCATTCACTATATCTGGTCTCCCTGGACACCGCATTCGCTATATCTGGTCTCCCCGGACCCTGCATTCACTATATCTGGTCTCCCTAGACCCCGCATTCACTATGTCTGGTCTCCCCGGACCCTGCATTCACTATATCCGCTCTCCCCAGACCCCTCATTTACTATATCTGGGCTCCCTGGACCCTGCATTCACTATATCTGCTCTCCCCAGACCCTGCATGGGTCATGTTGACCCAGTAAGGCCATATTATGTCAAAGATGTCACAAGGTCAGTGATATCACGTTAACCCAGTAGGTCCATATTAGGTTAATGATGTCATGAGGTCAATTATGTCAGGTTGATCCAGTATGGCCATATTAGGTCAATGATGTCACAAGTTCAGTGATGTCATGTTGACCCATTATGGCCATGTAGCCATATTAGGACAATGATGTGAAGAGGTCAGTGATGTCACGTTGACCCCAGTTTGGCCATGTTAGGTCAGTGATGTCACGAGGTCAGTGATGTCACGTTGACCCCAGTATGGCCATGTTAGGTCAGTGATGTCACGAGGTCAGTGATGTCACGTTGACCCCAGTATGGCCATGTTAGGTCAGTGATCTCACGAGGTCAGTGATGTCACGTTGACCCCAGTATGGCCATGTTAGGTCAGTGATGTCACGAGGTCAGTGATGTCACGTTGACCCCAGTATGGCCATGTTAGGTCAGTGATCTCACGAGGTCAGTGATGTCACGTTGACCCCAGTATGGCCATATTAGGTCAGTGTCACAAGGTCAGTGTTAAAACTACCTCAGCATTTGAGGGAAAGCCTTCATTTTACATAGCAGAGCACTTGAAACACCATTAGGCAATTAGACAATGGGAGATTACCAAAAGGTTTTTCTATCACAGTTACCCCTTCAAATTATTTGATGCAAAGGGCACTGTGATGAAGGCAGTTGATGTAAAGGGCACTCTAATGGGGACTTTTAACGCCAGGGGGACTCTGATCAGGACATTTGATGTAAGGGGGACTCTGATGGGGATCCTGATGTAAAGGGGGCACTCTGATGGAAACATTTGATGTAAAAGGGAAACTCTGATGGGGACATTTGAACTAAGGGCAACTCTAATGGGGGGACAATTGATTAAGGGATCACTCTGATGGGGAGAATTGATGTAAGGGGGCACTCTCATTGGAACAATTCATGTCATGGGAACCTTGATGGGGAAAATTGATGTAAGGGGGCACTCTCATTGGAACATTTCATGTCATGGGAACCTTGATGGGGAAAATTGATGTAAGGGGGCACTCTCATTGGAACATTTCATGTCATGGGAACCCTGATGGGGAGAATTGATGTAAGGGGGGCACTCTCATTGGAACATTTCATGTCATGGGAACCTTGATGGGGAAAATTGATGTAAGGGGGCACTCTCATTGGAACATTTCATTTAATGCGAACCCTGATGGGGAGAATTGATGTAAGGGGGCACTCTCATTGGAACATTTCATGTCATGGGAACCCTGATGGGGAGAATTGATGTAAGGGGGCACTCTCATTGGAACATTTCATGTCATGGGAACCCTGATGGGGAGAATTGATGTAAGGGGGCACTCTCATCGGAACATTTCATGTCATGGGAAACCTGATGGGGAGAATTGATGTAAGGGGGCACTCTCATCGGAACATTTCATGTCATGGGAACCCTGATGGGGAGAATTGATGTAAGGGGGCACTCTCATCGGAACATTTCATGTCATGGGAACCCTGATGGGGAGAATTGATGTAAGGGGGCACTCTCATTGGAACATTTCATGTCATGCGAACCCTTATGGGAAGAATTGATGTAAGGGGGCACTCTCATTGGAACATTTCATGTCATGGGAACCCTGATGGGGAGAATTGATGTAAAGGGGCACTCTCATCGGAACATTTCATGTCATGGGAAACCTGATGGGGAGAATTGATGTAAGGGGGCACTCTCATCGGAACATTTCATGTCATGGGAACCCTGATGGGGAGAATTGATGTAAGGGGGCACTCTCATCGGAACATTTCATGTCATGGGAACCCTGATGGGGAGAACTGATGTAAGGGGGCACTCTCATCGGAACATTTCATGTAATGGGAACCCTGATGGGGAGAACTGATGTAAGATGGCACTCTGATGTGGAAAATATATGTAAAAAGGACACTCTCCTGGGCATCCTGATGTAAGGGAGGACCCCTATCGGGCACTCTTATGTGGACGTTTGATGTAAGGGGGCATTTTGATGGGGACTTTAAAGGGGGCTATTGATGTAAGGAGCACTCTGATGGGGACACTGATGCAAGGGGGGCTCTGGTGAGGACTTTGATTTAAGGGGCCCTAACGGGGACCCTGATGTAAAGGGGGGATGCAAATAAGGACTCTTGAAGTAGGAAGGGACAGAGGCATAAAGACACCTGATATAAAAGGGTACAGGTTCGTGAACTGTGATACAGAAGCTAGCCAAAATTTGCCCCCCCCCCCAATTTTTTTTGATCTGCACCCCCAGATCATTCTAGGTCCATCGCTGTCTGTGGCATTCCTTCTGCAAGTAAACTGTTCAAAATAAAGTAGTACGGGAAGCCATTTCTTTTTTAGAGACTTACACTTCGGATGTTTTGATTTTTTTTTTTTTTTTGCATCATTGAGTGTATTAATTAGGTTAGGGGCCTGTCATTAGTTATCCACGGCAGTGCACTCTACTGGAATCTACGCGTGTGTCATGCGGTAGGGGGATTCATCACACAAACGTTCTTCATTATTTTGGAAGCTGATCGTAGGTTAACGAACGCACAGTTATACATTATCCACTGATTGAATAATCTTTACGATGACGCACCATACATTATTTTGAGAAAACAATAGCCTTGGCCCCAATGTCTGCTCTTGGGTTTGTTATGTGTGTCCCTGGTGTGTCATGTTTGGACTTAGGTAATCACATTACTTAGTGCCGAGACTGATTTCTTTTTGAACAATTAAAGTGCCTCTCCAGGAAAAAAAATAGAAAAAAAAAGAAAAAAAAAACTACATTAAAGAGGCACTTGTAGGTCAGACAAATATAACATAACAGTTATAATGAAATAACCACAAATGTCTTTTCTGTGCTCACAGCATTATCAGTTTTATTCAACCCCCAAGTGACATTCAATCTTAGTACTTAGTACAGCATCCTTTTACAGTTATAACAGCTTTTAAACGTGAAGCATAGCTTGACACAAGTGTCACAACTTGCAGCGATCTACGGGTATCTTCGCCCATTCTTCATGGGCAAAGGCCTCCAGTTCAGTCACATTCTTAGGCTTGCGCACTGCAACTGCTTTCTTTAAGTCCCACCAGAGGTTCTCAATCGGATTTAAGTCTGGTGACTGCGATGGCCACTCCAAAATGTTCCAGCCTTTCCTCTGCAACCATGCTCTAGTGGACTTGGAGGTATGCTTGGGATCATTGTCCTGTTGAAAGGTCCAACGTCTCCCAAGCCTCAGGTGTGTGACGGACTGCATCACGTTTCCATCCAATATCTCCTGGTACTGAAGAGAATTCATGGTACCTTGCACACGCTGAAGCTTCCCTGTACCTGCAGAAGCAAAACAGCCCCAAAGCATGATTGACCCTCCACCATGCTTCACAGTAGGCAAGGTGTTCTTTTCATCATAGGCCTTGTTCTTCCTCCTCTCCAAACATAGCGTTGATCCATGGGCCCAAACAGTTCTAATTTTGTTTCATCAGTCCACAGAACACTATCCCACAACTTTTGTGGTTTGTCCACATGGCTTTTGGCATACTGCAGTCGACTCTTCTTATTCTTTGGAGACAGCAAGGGGGTACGCCTGGGAGTTCTGGCACGGAGGCCTTCATTACGCAGTGTGCGTCTTATTGTCTGGGCTGAAACTTCTGTACCCACATCTGACAAATCTTTTCTCAGTTCCTCAGCAGTCACACGGGGACTTCTCTCCACTCTACGCTTCAGGTAGCGCACAGCAGTCGAAGTCAGCATCTTCTTTCTGCCACGACCAGGTAGCGTTTCAACAGTGCCCTTTGCCTTGAATTTGCGAATGATGCTTCCTAAGGTGTCTCTTGG